TTTTTTTTCAAAAATACGAAGTTCAAATGAAAACTTTTTTTAAAATCTTAAATTCCTTAATTTCAATTCTTTTCAAGACAATTAATACACAACCTCAATCTTGCTCCTTCTCAAGGCAAATAATAACCACAAATCAAATAAAAATATCAACAAGGCATGATGTAAACCTAAAACTATACGGACATAAACATAACTAGTAACTACGTACGGACTCTCGTCACCTCGTGCCTACGTAGCCCCCACAAATAGAAGCACATATTAATTTGGTTCACCTATGGGGTTAATTCCTTCTTACAAGGTTAGAAAGGAGACTTACCTCGCTCAAAATTCCATAGTCAGCTCCCAAGCATTTCAAACAACTCAAATCGATGCCCAACACTCTAAAACTAGTCAATAAATGAGCAATTCCATAAATATATACTCTAATACTCATTATAATCCTATTTATAACAAATTAACTCCGTTCAAAAAGTCGATTAAAAAATCACACTCGGGCCCACGTGCCCGGATTTCAAAATTTTTTGAAGATAAACCTTACCGATAACCCCACGAACTCAAATATATAATTTATTTCCAATTTCATGCCCAAATTCGTGGTCAAAATTGAAAAATACCAATTTCTAGGTTTTATACCAAAAAACCCCACAATTTTACAACTTTCCATGTTTAAATCCTTATACAAACCATGTATTTAATTTATAATGAGTGAGAATCACTTACCTTGTGTTGTTTGATGAAAGTCTCCCGTTGAAGCTCTCCAAAAACGCCCTAACCAAATGAGAAATGAGAGAAGAAGAGCCAAATCTCGCTCTTAAAATCATTCTGCCCAGCGAAATTTCGCACATGTGGCTCCTTAGCCGCTCCTTCGCGTCTGCTTCTGCGGCACTTCTTCCGCACCTGCGGCCATTGCCGCTTTTGCGGCTACTAACCTCGCACATACGCCATCGCAGGTGCGCATACTCTTCCACTCATGCGGTTCTCAGCAACCTTGGTCCCTTCCGCTTCTGCGAGCCATTTCCCGTACCTACGGGCTCGCACCTGCGGCCCTCTTCACGCAGGTGCGATTACACCAGATGCCCAGCTTCTTTAGCTCCTCCTCCAAATCCAAATTCGATCCGTTAACCGCCCGGAATCCACTCGGGCCCCCCGAGACCTCAACCAAACCTACCAACAAATCCCAAAACACATTACGAACTTAATCGAGCCTTCAAATTAAATCAAACAATATCGAAATCACGAATCGCAACCCAATTCAAGCTTAATGAATTTTAGAACTTCAAACTTATACATTCAATGCCGAAACCTATCAAATCACGTCCGATTGACCTCAAATTTTACACACAAGTCACATTCTACTTTCAGAATTGGAATCCGACCCCGATACCAAAATATTCACTTCCGGTCAAACTTCTCAAAAACCTTCAAATTTCTAACTTTCGCCAAATACCCCCAAAATGACGTACGGACCCCGAATCCACTTCCGGACGCGCTCCCAGTACCAGAATCACCATACGAAGCTATTCCCAGACTCGGAATTCCAAACGGACACCGATAACATTGAAATGCACTCAAACCCCAATTTATGAATTTCTTCCAAAATGCTAACTTCCACAATAGGAGCCGAAACGCTCCTGGGTCATCCAAAACCCGATCTGAACATGCGCCCAAGTCCGAAATCATACGAACCTTTTGGAACCTTCAAATCCCGATTCCGAGGTCGTTTACTCATAAATCCAACCTTAATTAATTCTTCCAACTTAAAGCTTCTGAAATGAGAATTTTCTCTCCAAATCAACTCCGAACTTCCCGGAAATCAATTTGGACCATGCATACAAGTCATAATACCTGAAGTGAAGCTACTCATGGCCTCAAACCGCTGAACGACGCGCTAAATCTCAAAACGATCGGTCGGATAATTGCAAAATTCATAGTAGGGAAGATAATGTATAAAGAGAAAAATAGAGATAGTGCAAGAAAACTTATACTTTGAATTAATTGAAATAAATAATTTACATAATTAAATTATACTTAAAAATATTATTGATAGATTTAAATGATAAAAGAGTTCCGAATAAAAGGATAAATATGTAAAAGATACTAAATTTAGGAATAATGTTTTATATATTTATCGATGAGTATTAAAAGGGTAATAAGCAAAAAATTTATGTCAATTGATAAGCTAAGTGTCGAGCCTAACCTCGACGAAGTAGTGACGAGGTTATGACAAGACACTCACCGTAAACCTATACGAATAATAATAAAAGACAACAGAAAATATAGAGAAAGCAAGTAACTCATAAGAATGCGACCCGAAGGTCAACTAACAAAGGGGACCATAATAACATCATCTCATAACCTTATATCACCGTACAGAAATAGAGCACTACATCTACAAATAGTACAACACATCATATTCCGTTGCGGTGCGCAAGCCGATCCAAATATTATTACTATAGCTATTACAGTGTGCAATCCGATCCCAAATATCATATCAATATCTGTTGCGACATGCAACCCGTTCCCATTATCAATTCATTTCAATACTGTTGCGGCGCGCAACCCGTTTCCAATATCAACTCATTAATATGAATAACTCAACACAATCAAATTCCGTAATCTCAACACAAAAGGTATTAATGCGTATAGAACATCAATGAACTACCAGTACAAACAGATAATCATCAATACTTCATATTCACAAACCTCGACAATTCATGAATACAAGAATAGCTAAATGATTCATATGATCGGGGGGGGGGGGGGAACTTATCCGCACCCGGTGTATATACCAAGCCAATAATTAAATGATACTTGTCACCTCATTTAATTATATAATCTATCTTTTATTTAATCTTAAATAATAATACAATAAATAGTTTTAAATATTTTCTAGCTATTTTCGTTGTTCCATAACAAAGATATCGAAAGGAAGACACTATCGTAAGTGAGCCAATCAGGGCTAATACATTTTCCATTAAGTACCCTAATTCCCCTTCTTTCTTCTTAAATAAATTTTGTTCCAAGTATACCCTTATTGCATTACTTAAATAATTTTTAATATATTATGATAAGTACACTGTGAGAATACAAGCACAATACTATCTTTATTGATTTTTTCAGGATCTTATGAAGACAAAAATATACAATGATTGTTTATTACTCTTTCTCAAATTTTTATTTAAAAAAATTCTCTAGTAGATGTTAGTTTATTTTCTATGGTTAACTTAATCAAATTTGGTATATACATCAGCATAAGTTTTTACTCATGATCGGACATGACATAATAAATTGTAACTAATTATTTTTGATGAGAATTTTTTATAGCCACAAAAATATTATGGCCCTATAAAGTTTTTATCCCTTAAATTTTTAAGATCAAATATTTTAAATATCTTTTTTTCTTAAACTTTATATTTGAGTTAAATTACTTCGTTTAAATTGAAACCGAGTATTGATTCACACTATGTAATATACAACAATTGTTATTTGCCCCATTACTACATTATATATCAAACAAATAGCCCATCATTTTTCACTCTCTCTAACTCTCTCTTCCCTGTAAGTGTGAAATCCTCCGAGCTAGGGCTTCAATTCCATCCCCCACCGATCCCTCATTCAAACTCCATACTCTCCGCTCTCACCAATTCAATCGAGATTGATTTGAGTATGGGCGGAGGCGATACTACTACTACAACGGTCAAAGATGAAGTAGCCGAGAATAACGCCGGCGGTGGTGGTGAAACAGTTACGATCAACGTTCGATGTTCCAATGGCTCCAAATTTTCCGTTCAAGTGAGCCTCGATTCCACCGTCGGATCATTCAAGTCCGTCCTTTCTCAGCCGTCCGATATCCCTGCCGAACAGCAGAGGTTGATCTATAAAGGCCGGATCTTAAAGGACGACCAAACCCTAACAAGCTACGGTATTAATTATATCTAATTGTTTTTGTTCCTTTTTTGCGCAATATAGGTAGGCAATTTCTTGTCGCATTTTGTTGTTAATGCTGAATTATTTGTATTAGGTAAGTATACTTTTTATTTGTTATGTTGCTGATCAATCAATCAATTGCACCTCAATAATAAGCTAGTTAGGGTTTTGTGATGTAAATGTTATAAATATCCTGCTTTATTTATCGTATTTCTTGATATAAAAAGGTTCTTGTATCTTTAAATGTTTTTATGTTTGTTTGCATAAATGTTTAAAAGTCTAGATTTCTTAGGCTAATATGAAGGCCAGGGACATCAATTGGTGTCGTACTGTTTGCTCATGAATTTTTCTGTTCAACTCATAAACAGTGTATTAGTTTTTGGGATTTGCTAATACATGGCCCCAGTGATGACTGGGGCAGTAAAAAAGCGGCGATTTTGAGGAATAATGTTAAGAATTTGTCCAGTGTTGAAATAAGTGAATATAGGAAGCTGTTTTAAGGAATAAAAAAAGAATGCACGTAGAAGCTGTTTCCCGAACTGGAGGGGAGTCTTAATTTTGGAAAATAATTCATTGGGAATATTAGAGGATGTTGTGAATTTTTGGAACGGAGAAGTATCTTCTTTGACTGCCGTAAAGGAGATTTCCTAGTGATTGAATAACTTTGAGATCTTAGATACGAATCTTCAGTGCAACACTTTGATATGAGCCCATTTTGCTCCATCTTTGGTAGGTAGGATTACCTTTACAAGGTATTCTTAATACTTTCTCGATTTAGAAGTGCAAATATAGCCTCTATGTCTGTATTGTTTCCCGAATAGATGGAAATAATTGATAAATAAGGTGTTAATATATTAGGAAGCACCGCATTTCAATTCTAATAGACAAAGATCTTACTCGTTTGATTACCAAATACTCCGTACTATATCATGGTTTGTCTTTGGACAAGAAATAGGTAAAGGTCAATAAGTGGAGAAAAGTGTAGAGGAAAGATTCAGTGGTACTGGGGTCTTTGGCTCTTTTGTTAGAGGATAAAATATGCACCTGGAACTGCATACAGTAGAGANAAAATGTTCAAGAGCCATTTCTGAATGCAACAACCATGGCTGGAGATACAAGAAATGATTCAGGTGCAAACCCGTTCGCAGCTCTTTTGGGAGCCCAAGGTGGGCAAGCCGGAAATCAGGCAACTAGTCCTCCAGTTACTGGTTCTGAGACAACTGCTAATCCTCCCGCTCCCAATACTAATCCACTTCCGAATCCTTGGGCATCAGCTGGCAGTAAGCTTCTACCGATTTCATGTTCTACAACTGTTTTAGCTGCTAGTTTAAACCTGTTCATCTCCTATTCTGTTGACTCAGGGTTCTTTGCATATTAAAAAAGCAACTTTTATCTCTCTTTTTTTGTTCTTCTGGAGATACTTTCATGCATCTTCGCTACTGAGGGTGCCATGAAGTCATACTTGTGCAATTTGTGCTTAGAGCTTGTACAATTCAACACTTGTTTTCTGCAGCCATTTTTTTCTTCTTTGTTCTTTTCTAGTTAATATTTCAAAGTTAGCATAATCTTATCAGAATTTAGTAAAAACAGTTTTATATTTAATATGGAGAATCTAATTATGTAGTATTATTAGGGGCCTTTCGCTAATCAGAAGCCGAGATCTTTTTTATCCAGTGGACTTCCTCTCAGTGTGTTGATTGAGCATTTGTAATCTTGCTTTATTTTTATTGTTGTTTTGATCTTCAATTATTTCTGATAAGCAGGGTATCTTCTTCAACTATTTTTGCAGCTGGAGCCGCCCAAATGAATACCACTGCTAGGTCAAATGCTGCTGCGGATACTAGGGCACCCCCTCTTGGTGGCTTTGGCGCTTTGCCAGATTTGCAGCGAATGCTAGGCGGCATGCCTGATGCCTCTTCTCTAAATCAGTTAATGCAGAATCCAGCCATCTCACAGATGATGCAGTCTCTCCTCTCAAATCCTCAGTACATGAACCAGGTATTTATTTACTCGTTTGAACTAAAGTTGCTGTCAGTGAGTTTAAGGCTTTATTTCTTCTTTCTTGGTTCTTTGTTTTCGTTTGTGGTGGAAAATTTCTTGTCAAGCGTCTCATTTCCTGAGCATCTTGGTGGCTAGATTTCTGGGTTCAACCCGCAGCTAAGAAGCATGCTTGATTCCAACCCCCATCTCAGAGAAATGATGCAAAACCCTGAATTTATTCGTCAGTTGACGTCCCCTGAGACAATGCAGGTAATTGATGTCTTTATGTCGTGCTTGTTTGGCCTCTGGAGTGCATACATGGTGCATGAGTTGTAGCAAATTTAGAAAATTGCATCACATTCTTTTTTTGATATGTAAAGATAAAAGTTATACCGTAACTCAAAAAGGTTAAAAGTACTATACGGTGTAGACCCGGTTTGATTCACCGCTGGTGCATATCTATTTCCTTATTTTTAAAAAAGGTCAAAGTACTATTAGAAATACGCTTAGTAGAATTGCTGCAGCAAAAGATAATGCGAAAAGGAAACAAAAAAATACAAATTTACTTCTCTGGAAGCCTATATATTTGCCTTGAGCTTTTGCAGATCTATCTGGGGAGAACTTGAATCAGATTGTTTCAAGGGTCACATGCTTATCAACTAAGTTTAGAAATGCCTCACTGTGTATCAAAAATGTAGATGTAGCCTTAGTGTAACCATGCTCATCAAGCTGTCATATTGGAAGGCACTAAATCTTAACGTTGGGCAGCTGGAAGGAAAAAGAATAAAAGAAAGTTTTACTATGGAAAATGGAGGGGAAAAGAGCAACAGGAAAAACTCAAACAAATATGTTACTCTTTTCTTTTATTGGACAATTCTTGATCTACCTTCCACCCCTTGTAATTACTCACTTAGATTCACTTTCTTACTAAATAAACAATGCTCTGACAATGTTCATTTACCATAAGTAAACTTCACAGATTTTAGTGTCATGTATGATACGGTAGGAACTGTATTTTATTGTTTCAATATAGAAACTGTACTTCAGATTTATTATTATTGAAACTGTTATACGTTTTCATTTCATTAAATGGAGTAACATATTACTATATCTAATTACTTTGAACATGATCTAAGTTGGTTCTTGTATTACTGGTTAAGTGTCACTGATTCATCAAACATGTTTCCTGGGCACAATGTAAGAGATTCTAGATTGAACATTTTCCATCCTTAATTCCTTATAATATAAAAGTTATTGTCCTGTCTATTTGGAGCACCCAGGGTACAGAAAGAAGCCTTTTGATATGTGTCTGGACATAAAACTTGATGAGTGCGCAACTCTTTGGGTGCATTTTCCTTATTTGTTTTTAAAAAAAAACACTGTTCTGACATTTTTTTTGACTATAATTCTTCTCCCTTTCAGCAAGTTATGAGTCTACAGCAAGGGCTATTGTCTCAACTTGGTCGGCAGCAAACAAACCAGTAAGTCTGGACATATCTGTGAAGCTTCCTTGGCCAGAGAATCTCACACTTCATGGTTTATCTGATATGATGATATGCATCTCCTTGGATTCTCATTATTACTCACCATTTGTTTAGTACACTCACCAAAGAAAAAGAATTATCATCTTACATATTCTCATATTTCACTTGCCAAAGAGTAGTCTAGACCTTTCTAATTAGGAAGGATAACTGATGAACTTGTGAGTGGCTCTAGATCTTTATTCTGATTATTTGTATCAGTGGAGTAATTTCTGCATTATGTTTATCTTTTCTGACAAAGTGTCTTTCCCACTTGCAGAGGACAGGGTCAAGATGCTGGCCGAACAGGTGAAATTTTATTCTCTATTTCTCCCAATTTGATATCCTTATAAGAGTAATACACCCTTAGGTTGTTTTGAATTAGGCTGGGAGGGAAATGGTCGCTTGTTTAATAATATTATCCTGCAGCAAATAAATTTTCTTACACTTATTTCCAAGCATTGCTTAAGACTAATATTTTGATGCAGAACTGGCCTGCTAGGAATACTACAATATTTTTTTATGCACATTTATTTACCATATGTTTCATGAATATTTTGCCAAAAAATTTGTTTAGGCAACTGAGATACCTACTTCTTAGTTTTGTTTTATTGCATAAGGATTCTAAAATTTACAAGGATGACAGAAAACTCATTCGGATTTTTGCTTGTTAGATCTACAACAGAGTTTATATTTTTGTTAAGAATATTGTTTGAAATTCTTAGGATGAGAAAAATGGTTCTTTGAGGATTTAAAAGAAATGAATTCAAATAAAATATATAAACGTCACAAATGAAATGTACAGAGGAGTGGCATATGACCAGCCATCCTTGTTCATAGTGGTTGGGGAGTTCTCTCCAAACTACTAGTTCAAGGGTTCAAGGTTGGTAGACAATCTCAAAAAATAGAGGAGTGGCATAAGTGTGAATAGTGAGACGAGATACAAATCAGTACCCAAGTGGTTTACTCTAGGGATCCGCATGTACTACTTTAGGCCAATTATGGATAAGCTGAAGAAAGGTTCCATGACGCATGCTATTTGTAGATGATTTTAACATCTTAATTAGTGATAAAGTCAACTAAAAGTGGGAACTGGGAGAAGAACTCTAGTTTTATGATAAGTAGAAATAAGACGAGCTGTATTCGCTGCAAGTTATAATAATAGCAGTGAGATGAGACTAGATGATATAATGGCACATAAATGTAGACAATTCAAATATTTAGGATCATATATGTGAGTAGAATGATGTGATATATGAAGGCGCAACACAAATTAAAAGAGGATCGTTACATGGAGGAGTTTTAACTTTTAAGAGAGTTATGATCTATGTGGATGCCTAACAAAATGAAGCACATGTTCTATGCAATGGCTGTGAGATCAACAACCTTATATGGGAATGAATGTAGGAATTTTAAAGCCATTTGTATATCCACAAGATAAATAACACCAAATTTTATAAAAATGCATATGTAAGATATGGTGTGCGGTCATACGAGGTCTTATAAGATTAAAAATATCACGTCTTACAAAGGATGTAAGTAGCAAACATAGAGGATAAGACGAGAGGTCATTTTTTCCATCTCCTAAGTAGACCCCTCCATATGCACTAGTCAGACTGATGTGCTACAACCTGATGATTGAAAGTGCTAAAAGAAGACAAGGAAAACCTAAAACTATGGAAGAAGGGATTAGTAAAAGGACCTGCAAGTCTCAAAATTAATATGGATTTAGCCCAAAAAATGATACAATCAAAGCAAAGAATCCGTATATGCGTTGTTAGACTTAAATCTGGTCAAGTGTTCGCTAGAAATCTCTTTTTGTTGTTAGAGACTCATCTGTTCAAATAAGGATATGTACGAGATTTAGGATAACTCTACTTTAAGGGAATCTCTAATGTTTATTTTAAGTAGGGAATCTATAATATTCCGTAAAAGATAAATTATTTAGTACTGGAATAAAATGGACCTGAATAGAACAGAATTTAAAACAGATGAGTCACTGATTTGAGATTCGTGATTAGATTGATGGGTGATTTTAAGTTTCAAATCATTTTTTTGACTGTGAAACTCTGATATTTAGGTTTCCCTGTTGACTGAAAGGGATAGCAATTTATTATGCTGATAGAAGCAATATTCAGCCTATCTTTTTGAGTTTGTTGAAATACTATGTACAATTAAGGTTGGAGAAATACAATGCAATTTTGTGTGCATTATTGGTTAGTTTTACTCATATCAGCTAGATGATTTTAATAATTGCAGCATTTGACAACATGGGAATGGAAATGCTGATGAACATGTTCGGTGGACTTGGGACGGGGGGATTGGGTGTACCCAACAGATCCAATGGTTATTTTACTCTCTCGCTGTCTGTCTCTCTTTCTCTCTCTCTCTGACATGACCTATGCTCATTTTCCTCTTGATGTGTTATTGTAGTGCCCCCAGAGGAATTATACGCCACTCAGTTAGCCCAGTTACAAGAAATGGGTTTTTTTGACACTCAAGAAAATATCCGGGCACTTATTGCCACTGCAGGGAATGTGCACGCTGCGGTAGAGCGACTTCTAGGGAACACTGGACAGTAGTGTATGGATATTCTCTTTTGTACGACTATATAGCTCCTGGTGGGGACAGATGAAATTGTTGATGTGGACAGAAGAAGCATCAAATCTTGGATAGAAATAAATTTGTGGAGTTTGATTTTTTGGAACGAACTCTCATCTCATCCCCCATTGTCTCTTACCTCGGGCCAAAAAGGGAAAAAGTTCTTCAGTTCATTGTACATACAATGTTAAAATCAGCCCCTTAAATTGTTCATTATAATATGATATATCGTACAATTTACTGTAGCATTTCCTTTTCGATTTTCTAGTTTGAACATTATGCTGGATGTTATCTGCCTGCTGTATTTGTCTATTTTGGTTTTGTGCTATGGACTAATGTCTCACAGGTGGTCTTTGTACTTCAAGCTTAATGATTGTTACTGCTGGGAATCTGTAATTGTTGTAAGGCAGGTTGAGAAGCCGATTATGATTTGGGCACTTGGTGCATGTCGAAGGATGTATTGCAAAAGACAATTTAGGCAATGCGAGGTATTCTTATCATAAGAAGCACGAATAGGATCTTCATCAGAATAGCTGAATGGGTGCACATCGGAGTAATAACCTGAAGATCAGATTCTAATTATGGTTATTGGAGCGAGTCATTTGCTTCAGCCATGGTACGCTATGCACGATCACTTGACATCTGTGCTTGTAGGCTGTAGCAGCTTGCATGTGAACGTACACGAGCAAGTTGGTTCGGACACTATGTTACCATCCCAAAGAAGAATAAAACTGGAACTAACTTGTTAGTTGTAGGCAAATGAGTGTACATATTTGGGAAATGCCAAATCTAGCAACTGATAGCGATATTAGTAGTGTGAACAATGAGGGATAAGCTCAAGTGTATCCTGATTCTTTTACTCAAATCTGATACAATATAGTATTGAAAGTTGTACGATGTAATTTACTCATGGAGTGCTAATTAATGAAGTGCTAAACTCGTGGGAATTGCAGGCTGAAAGCATGCATTTGAATCCAGTTCTTTTCTTTGGCAAGTAAAGAATTTTATTTACCAAGTAATAAACTGTACAGTACAAAAATAAGAACAAAATCAGGCAGTCAAGCAACAAGCCTCAGACTCCCAAACCAACTATCTCTACTAATCCTCCCTATCTAAACTGGCTTCTCATAAATACAAATGGGTCAGAACTATATAATCAAGTAACTCAATCAGGATAGAACTATAGCAGCTCCAGTTCCTTCTAAGCCTTGCTTCATGGATCCTCTATAGTAAACTTCTTGTACAATCTGCCTGACAATATCATTTAAACCCCAATTAGAAAGAACAAAAGCAGAAATTTCAATTAGTTGAAGGTTTAGCATATTTAATGGAGTAGAATATTACAGGTTCAAAGTCAAAGTACCAAATAACGAAGAGTTTAGATACATATATACATAGAAATCTTCTATATTTATTTACTTAAATATTATGTCTTCAGCAGAATCAATCTCGTAACTATCTTTTCTTCCATTAATGCTTCATAAGCTTCAAGTCACTCAAAAATAACTCCATCAACTTCTGTCTACCAATCCGCCAAAGAAGTAGTTTCAGAATTTCAGCATTTCGTCTATTCGTGACACACACAAAAATTTTCGCAAACCAGATCGACATAATTATGTTATAATTCGCCTTGTAAATAGATTTTGGTCTAGGTTGTAGTGATTTGCGGATTTACTTCCTGTCATAAATTGATGTGTCTGAGAGAAAAAAATATTAATATCTCAACCGTATGTGTGATATAAAATGAGAATTTTCGAAGCAATGTAAATGACTCATTGCTAATTAGGGTGTCTCCGCTAGGGTATAGATGAATCAGGTTGGTTTGGTTCTGATAAAAACCAAACCAACTATATCAGTTTGGATTGGTTCGGTTTTGTTGGATTTTTTAGGTTTTTTATTTTTTTGTTATATGAATATTATTTCAATCTTCCTTTGTTAAAGTTATAGATAAAATTTTGATATGAATATATGTTTCGTAGAAATTAAAAAAATCGATTAAAATATGTATTAAAATATTTTTATCGGAGAATTTTTTTAGTAACACTATTTTCTTAGTCTCTAACAATAATTTTTTGTTGATGTACGCTTTCAAGATTAACTAAATTTAATAATTAAACATAAAAATCATATGATACCTAAATAATAATAATATTATATTTAATTTTAAATTATCGAAATATCATTTCAAATTTCAAAAAGATTTAATCTTGACACATGAATATGGAAGAACAAAGAGCCGATTAACGCATTTCTATAACACTTGATAAGAAAGTGATGATACAACCTATTATTTAAAATAAATAAAAATGAATGCACTTCATAATTCTGTTAATTATTGCATCCCATGAGAGGATCCCAAATATTCTAGACATATTTTAATTTTTTTTTTATATAAGGTCTTAAAAGTATATAAAAATTATATATTTATATGTTGATTTGGTTCGAGTTTTTTTATACCAAACCTAATCAAGGTTTATAAATATGTTTGGTTTGAGTTTTCGATTTGGTGCGACTTTCCTGTTCAGTTTGAATACCCTAGTCCGCAACTATCTTTTATGAAAAAGGATTAAATTAGCTTTATTTTTCTTTAATGAAATCGTTCGTCTTAAAAGTTATATTTTAGTGGACGCTTTTCCTCTGCTTGATCACAGCAAACAACAAAATTAGGCAGACATTTTTTTCCTCCAAATATAGGGCACATATTTCACGTCGAATTCATTTGAAAGGCAGCAAAATCCTTCATCATACATCACGAAAGGTAATTAATTTATTAAGTATCTGTCTTTAAAATTGCTAAAAAGCAAATCTACTAAATGATGATAGGTTTAGAAACTCAGTAATGATCTTTTCATTTAAGATACTGAAAATTTTCACTAACCAAAAATTATTTGTCTTTCATGTGTATTACCACGTAATAATTAAAACAACGACTTTTTTTTAATCTTTAAAATGAGAGAAAATGAATATCAAATCCATCTAAAATTAATTTTAAAAATTGATATTCTTTTCATCCAATGTACCAAAAAAATTTCCACTAGCTAAAAAAAAGGTTACTTTTATATGTGCTGTTTACATGATTATGTTTTTGTTTGAGTTTCAGATATGAGCAAATAAATAGTAGTATCAATTTTCCATTTAAATTACGTTAAAAAAAGAAGTGTTATTTCATCGTTATCTTAGTTACACCAAAATGTTCTTTCCCTTTTGTTTCAACCCATTTTCAAGTCAAAATTATAGTATTACGTGAATATTGACATAATCCTAAAAAATGGTAAATGCATGAAAGTTATTTCTTTTTGGTTCTTGATTTGAATTAAAATTATAAGAAGTTACTAAAATAGTTTTAAATTTTATAACAAATTTGCAAACGACTCATCTGAACCAACACTAGGGATGATAACTGCCAAACTTCAAACGTTTCTCCATCCTCAGTATATATATAATCTTTCACCAACGTTGTCTTCCCCCTACCACCAACTTTGCATTTCTTCTTTTCTTTCATCTGAAAATCTTTGTTCCTTTTTTTTTTTTGTTGAAAATGACGAACACTAGCGGCAGCGGCGATAAGGTTGTCTCCGAAAATCCTCAATCACCCACTCCCGTCCCACCTCCTACTTCCCGAAGTCCCACTACTCCTAGTAGTGGTACTCAAGTGAACCCCACCATGCCCGGTGCCAGTGCTGATGGCAGTAGTAGCGCTAGCGCTGGCATTCCCACCAGAGCGAGTGCCAGTGCTAGTGCTGGTGGAAGCAGTGCTAGGGTTGCAGTCAGTGTTGCTGTTGCTTCTCCGAGGAAGAGAGGAAGCATGTTGGCTGTAGGGGAAGGATCGTCAAGAGGAGGGATGGGTGCGGCAAACCAAACCCGTAGTGTGAGGCCGAATGTGCCTCTACTGATTGCACCCCCACCTGCTGCACCGGCGTATCCTGCTCCTCCTCCTCAGCCCGAGAACACATGCGTGGTGTGTCACAAAGACTTCCATTCGATTAAAGCTTTGTTCGGACACATGAATTCGCATCCTAATCGCGGGTGGAAAGGTGCGTATCCTCCTCCTACTTTTAATAGGGAGGAGTTTGCTGATCTGCATGCACAAATGCAACAACAAGAAGAACAAGAAGTTGTGAGAAATGCTGGCGACCCCGTGGTGGAAGAAGTACCTCCCGAAAGGCGCGACGTAGTCCCTGATCTTAATGTTGCTGAACCCGCGGTAGGGGAAGGATATCGTTTGCCTGATTTGAATTTACCACCACCAGCAGAGGAATAAAGGAGTAGTTGTTTGGCTGATTTGTGGAACAATGAATGGTTTTTTATTTATGATTTTCTGTTTGCATGCTGGTTAGAGAAAGGAGACTTCTGGTGCTTGTAATAAATCTCCTTTAATTTTATTTGATCAAATATTTTGATATGGTTATTGTAATGTTTGTTTTATTCAGACTTTGTTTGGATGCTCTATTTTTATCTGCGTATTTATTAATACTTCAATTCGTTTTGATTACGCTACACATACATGCAATATTCATTAGAAAATTGTTGTCAAGGCGGATCCAGGATTTTAGGTTTATGGGTTCCTACAAAAATTTGAGTTAATAAACAGTACTAACTGGATGAACGGACCGGGTTCCAAACTTAATATTCTTATACATTTAACAGATTTTTCAATACAAATACAGGTTCTAGACAAAAGCTACTGGGTTCATGGGAACCCGTAGCGATTGAACTGAATCCGCCCTTGTTGATTCTAATATCACTTCAATTAATACACACACTATATATCCAACAGGAGAATTGTCAGATTAACTTTAATTTGTTTTACTTTTGTTTTAAAGATATTTAGACTTATTTTGTTTCTTAGAAAAACAAATTATGGAAAAAAATGAAAAGGTGACTATCTATACTATATTAAAAGCACGAACACCCTTAGCGAAATGTCGTTCGCCTTTTTTATCATTTTAAAATAGAGCTCATACTAGACAAAATAGTCTTTTAGTTATTATCTTAATATTTAGGACTTTAAAAGAAACTAAAATTTGATTATTAGATTTTTCCTTATTGAATTAAACAAGAAACCCTAATATTAAGGACTTTAAAATAGATATTATTTAAGAGAATTAATTAAGAGTATTACGTTTCTTTTCCTTGTATACTCACGTGATTTCCATAGAAATATGTTTACATTGATTCCTCTTATTAGGGAACCTATAATTCTAAAATTACCTAATTAAATATTTGTTCTAATTATTAAATGTAGTTTTCAATATTACATAAAATCGATAAAGAGAATAATACTATTCTCGAGTAGGAGAATAGTTTGAAAATAATTTGTATCTTCTATACTATCAAAAAAGCATAAAATCTCAACAAATAATTAACTCTTTGAATTAATAAAGCAACAAAAAAGTCAATTTTGTTTTAAAATTATTATGTAAGTAAACTTATTTGTCAAGTTGATAAAACTCTTAAGGTACACAAATTATTTTACACAATAAGAGCAATTTCCGTGAAAGAAATAAGAAAATAGAGAAAAATTTATTATAATATAGTATTAAAAGTTAAATTGCTTAAATGTTAAGTTGAAGCAATAAGGATATAACCCAAGACAAAAAAGAATTCACAAAAATTACCCTTATCAATTTTCTTTCTTTATATTTATTTTAATAAATGATAATTCCCTATATTTTTCATATCGTCTTACATCATTTTTTATATTCAATATTAGCTATTTCATATTTTATATTGTTATTTGTCTATAGGTTTCTAGGAACTATAGTTCTATCTCTACGCTCACAAATTTCTAAAAGACCCAAAGATTCAAATTCTTCAATTTATTTTATTATCTTTGAATAATTATTTTAAAGTATTTTTTTTGTTATTTGTTTATAGTATTTGGTAATAAAGATAACAATAATTTTCATAAGATATATATTATCTCATAAATCATAATAAGATATATAAAGACTTATGTGGCGTAGGATTTCTTTGTTTAATGAGCTAGCTTAGTGAGATTAATATTCATTATATTTAGAAACTTACATTTTTTTCTTTGATATTTTTTCAATAACTAAAACACATTATTGAATAATATGTATATAATTTTTAAAAATTATATATTTATTGATATAGGTACACGCGCAAAGCGCGTACCCTAAGACTAGTATATTTAAAATGTTTGCGTGATTTACAAATTCGAATGGTTGTGACTTTTGGTTGTATTATCTATTTGAATGAATTCAGACTCAAGAAGTGTCATTAGACTACTCAGTGCACTGAATTGAAATAATGTCTACTTTGTGGGCATTTCTTTTATTTAATCATTAAAATTTATTTAGAAATAAAACTTGAACTATCATGAGGAAAAGAAAACGTTTCTGGAAATTAAGAAGATATGAACACAACTCGCATACTGAGATAGTGTGTAAATTTGTTGTTCACATATAACTAAACGTTCCCTAAACCATCATTTTTAATTAGCTCTTGCACTTTATGTAGGAAACTGTTGTCTGCATATCTCGATTTTTCAACTACTAATTTTAAACATTAAATATCTTCGATTATGAGTTTTCTTATTATTATCAATTATTAATGTATAGAAAACCTTAATAATTAATTAGCGTACAACAATAATATCCAGATTTTTGCCCCACAAATATATAAGCTCTTTTGTTGTTCTTTATTTAGGATTTAATTTTGAGGCTTTCTTTGACATTTGGTTGGGAAAGTTTGCTGGATTACATACATATATATTGACAGTAGTAACTTTAATAATTTGGGAATACAGGATTTTGTATCATTTATATTAGCATCTCTTTCACAAGGTAAGTTATTATTAAAATCTTTCTCTCAAATTTTCTGTAGACTCTAATGATTATCATAAAACAACCGAGCAAACTTCTTTAGGGTTCTATTAGTGATACTTACTAATGGTCTGTACAAATGAGAGAGTCCACGTTTGAGCACCCACCTGTCCTCAAGTGGGTCCGTCCCTGTCATAGATAGACGAGATTTATCATCTAACGAATATATTAAGAATATTATTATTCGTTCTATAAGAACAAACAACAGCAAACAGAGGCGGACCTAGAATTTTTACACGATGGGGGCACAATATTTTGTTTAACCAGTGCCTCCTAAAGGCTTTTAGTGTTCAGGGTGCCAGTTGCTTTAAATTAACTATTTTTAAGGTATATATATACATTTACAAAAATTTTGCCGAAACTTACGGGGTCCGGTGACCCCTCATTGCAACATGTAGGTCCGACTCTGACAGCAAACCCAATGCAATCCACACATGAGGTAGATCTGAGAAGAATAATGTGTACGCAGACCTTATCCTTATTTTATGAAGGAAGAGAGGTTATTTCCGATAGATTCTCAACTCAAGAACAGTGAAAAATACACAATAAACAAATAGTAACAATGGCAAGGAAATAAGATAACAGAAACAAATAGCACATGTAATAGCAAAGAATCTAGGAATGCGAAGCTATAAGAGAAGTGCGAAAACTACCGGCAATAATGCCACACCGTCCAACATCAAGGAACTCGGAATAGGAGAATACAAGACTAGTACAAATACTACTACTACAACTAAAAGAGACTCTCGATTACCAGTCAAACCACAACCTTAATTCTCGACCTCCACACCTTCTTATTGAGGGTCATGTCCTCGGTAGGCTGAAGTAGTGTCATGTCCTGCCTAATCATCTCTCCCAGTACTTCCTAGGCCTTCCTATACCTCTTCTCTGACCCGCAATGGTCAACCTCTCACATCTCCTCACAGGTACATCGGTGTCTCTCCTCTTCACATGCCCGAACCATCTCAATCTCGATTCCTACAACTTGTCTTCCACAGGAGCTGCACCCAACTTGTCTCTAATAACTTCATTCCTAATCCGGTCTTTCCTGGTATGCCCACACATCCATCTCAACATCCCCATCTCTGATAGTTTCATCTTTTGGACATGAGATTTCTTGACTGGCCAACACTCGGCTCCATACAACATAGTCGGCTTAACTACCACTTTGTAGAACTTGCCCTTAAGTCTTGATGTTTTGTCCTATCACACAAAACACCAGACACAAGCATTCATTTCATCCACCCCACTCCAACACCATGCGTAACATCCTCATTAATCTCCCCGTTCTCCTGAATAACAGACCCAAGATATTTGAAACTATCTCTCTTGGGGATGACTTGACAAGCTTCACCTCCTCTTCTGTTTCCTGTGTCCCCACACTGAACTTGCACTCCAAGTATTCAATTTTTTCCTACTCAACTTGAAACCTTTAGACTCCAGGGTCTGCCTCCACAGCTCTAGCGGATCGTTAATCCCGCAATACATCTAATCGATTAGCTCTATGTAATCTGCAAATAACATACACAATGGCACCTCCCCCTGAATGTGGCGCGTTAACAAATCCATCACAAAGCAAATAAAAATGGACTAAGAGTTGAACCATGATGTAACCCCATAATCGCAGGAAAATAGTCTCCTCCCACAGTCTTCATCTGAGTCTTCGCTTCATCGTACATATCCTTAATCACCATAATGTATGCTACCGGAATACCACTAACCTCCAGACATCTCCATAGAACCTCCCTTGGGACTTTATCACAAGCTTTTTCTAAATCGATGAATACCATATGCAGGCCACTCTTCCTCTCCTGATACTGCTCTATCAATCTCCTCACAAGATGATTGACTTCTATAGTCGAACGCCCTGACATGAAACCGAACTGATTCTCCGAAATAGACACACTCATCCTTATCCTCCTCTCCACCACCCTCTCCCACACTTTCATAATGTAATTCAGTAGCTTGATATCCCTGTAGTTGTTACAATTTTGGATATCACCCTTGTTCTTGTACAACGGGACCATCAAACTCCACCTCCATTCTTCGGTCATCTTCTTACTCCTAAAAATGACAATAAATGGTCCAGTAAGCCACTCCAAGCATGCCCGTCACACTGCCTTCAATAATTCTACCAGGATCTCGTCTGGCCCAGTCTCCTTGCCTCTACTCATTTTTTGCATTACCTCCTCAACCCCCTTAGCCTTAATATGCTTACAAAATCTAAAATGATCACTTGGTTCTCTGAGTTCTCTAACTCGCCAAGCCCATGTTCCTGCCCCCATCCTCGTTCAAAAGTTTGTGGAAGTATGACTGCCACCTGCGCCTAGTGCACACCTCTTCCACCAATACCTTGCCGCCCTCCTCTTTGATGTACCTTACTTAGTTCAGGTCCCGAGCCTTCCTCTTTCGA